CTGCGACCCCCCCTTGACAGCACATAACTCGGGCCGAGATGGGACCCCCGGGACCCCACGGGATCCGCGGGCTAGAGCGGGTCTGAACCGGGAGCAGGGCTTGGACAAACGCTGTTCCCAAGGGCTCCCGCGGACACAGGGCCTGCTAGGAGGGAGCACATGCCCCACCTTGTGCATGCTCAGCTCCCTGGGTGATCCCAGATGCACTTTTTGTGGGGACATGGGTGTTCTCACCCTGCTCCTACCAGCTTCATCCTGCCTTCTGGGATGACACTGCCTGTGTCGTGTGACCCTCGAAGGTGAGGGGAGCTGTGCCACGCACCCAGCCTGTCCTCAGAGCCTCTTAGCAGGATTACCCCTGCTGTGGGCACTCTGCCTTGCATTAGCCTGTCCTCCCCATAACCCTGCGTGTCGTCACGCACTGCAGGCGGCTGGTGCACCACAGGAGTAGCTTCATGGCACGATCCATGGCACACCTCTGGGAAACGCTGTCTCCACTGGCTGCGTGGGACCTCCAGAGCAGAGGGACAACGCGGGGATTGCAGTATGAGGGAAGTTTCAGGAGACACCTCGGCTCCCAGACACGGCCTGCAAAACACTGCTCTGTCCTCAGTTTCCCTTGGAGTCCCATCCATCAGCCCCAGGAGAGGGCCAAGGTGCTGGGTGCAGGTGAAAGGCATTGCCTGCATCCCCGTTTTGTAATAGGCATAAGCAGCTCAGCAGATTTACTCTTGAGCTGAATGTGACCCCGGCTAAGCTGCCAGGAAAGGCCCGCTGGACACCAGGTATGGTGTGGGGCCAGCCCTGCCACCCTCCCGGGGTCTGGGGGCTTGCCCCAAGACCATCCACCTCTTCCACCTGCATGGCCAGGCAGGCCCAGGTCTGTTATGCCACCAGCTTTGAGCTCCTGGGGGTGCAAACAGCATTTGGGTAGCTCCCCACCAGCGACTCTCCACCTCCAGACCCCCAACCCTGCCACGTCCCCCACCCCACCGTTAATCTAGGCCTCCTGTTTAGGAAAGTTAAAGCGGCTCAGAGCAAGGCCAGATGATCACCCAGATTAAAGACTTAATGGTAGCACCACAACCAGCTCAGCATCTCAGCTCTGGGCTGGTGGGTCAGCGTGTCAGCGTGTCAGTGAGTCAGCACATCACCCACACACGTGTGAACAACCTCCCCCCAGCACACACACACACAGAGGAACATAAATTCACTGTGACAGGGAAGATGCTGTGTTGCTGGCAAAGGAAAACAGGGTACCTGGTGTCTTCATGGGATGCCTCCCTGCCTGCCCTGCCCCACAGTTACACCTGCGTGATGCTACGGGGAGGAAGCAGGGACTGTAAAGACACTACGCATGTCCCCATGTACTCACCAAAAATCCACACCTGCAACTCTCAGTGCATCTATAGCGGGACACAGACACCAACAAGGTGCCAACAACACACGTGCCGGTGCTGTGGGAATAGCCGGAAGGCTGAGGCATCCTGCCAGTGCCTGTTCCCCATAGGTGGAGGTATCTGGGGGAGTGTGGGTGATATCCATGCTGCCCCCACAGCCTGGGGGGGTGCCCGCTGCGGCTGGCTGATGAAAGCTGCCCTTTGTCCGCTTGCAGGGCACAGCACAGGGCCAAGCTGGGAAAGCAAGTGGGTTTGTCCCCAGATGAAACAGCCCCAAACTGAGCTTTGAGCGGGCCCTTGCGCAACAAGGACCCAGGCCAGCCATGCGGGATCTCAGAGGGATGAGCAGGGGGCATTGCCTCCCACTCCAGAAGCATCCCAGTCCAAATGACTCCCCATCACCCACCAGCTTGGGCGTTGCCAGACTCTTATCACTGGCTGCTACTAAGACTGGTGTCATTGGGTGGGTTTAGGGAAGCGCACGAGAGGGGATGGGGAGGTCAATGAGGTATGGTTAGGGCGCAGTCTCTGGTATTTACAGGGGGGACACAGGATTTGGGGGTGGGCTGTGGCTTGTCATTTGAGGTCACTCAAGGTGGTCAATAATTGTGAGCTTGGTTGAGGACTGATGCTGGTGGAGAACAGCATCTTCAGGTTGGGCAGTATCTGCCCTGCTGGGAAACACTTCTTTGATGCTCATGTTACAGGCCACCCCTCTCCAGCCCTTAGTGAGGTGGTACCCAGCTCCCAGCCCCTGCCCTATCCCCAAGACCCCCACCCACAGGGAGATGCTTCACCCAGTGCCAGAGCCAGGACCTTCTGGCCAAGCAGGACCACTTCCCCCACCCCATTCACACAAGTGGTGCCAGGAAAAAGCAGTCGGAGCCTGGATGTTGCATTTCCATCCATTTATTTGAGAAGCTGCACCGAAGTATTAAAATAAATTAGAAGCACAGACCATGTGGGTGCATTCATACATTAGCATCAGGAAGGCAAGGGCAGAGTGGGATCTTCAGCGGAGAGGTGGGTAGACAGGATGGAGCACCAGGGAGTCCCAACAGCTGCAGGAAACTCTACCATAGAAACTGTAACAGCTGCAGAACTAGAGGTACAAGTAAAAATCTGGACCTTTAGTATGGTCTTAAAGGCAAATCCTGAGTCAGACCTCCTCGTGAGGCACTAGGCTGGAAGACACCTGACTGGCAGGGGGGCAGCAGGGAAGAAAAGCACAAACGCCAGGGAAATGAAAAGGGAAACACACAGGACCTGGTCAGGAAGCAAGGTCATCCTCCACCATGTCCAGTCACTGCGGTTTGGGGGTTCTTGACAAAGTCATACCCTCCATTCTCTTCTTCCAGGGCTGTTGTTTGTGCCTGATTCCACCCATCCCCAGCACCAGGCCCAAATGTGATGCAGGAAGGTTTGTTGCAGTAGGGGAGAAGAGCGGGGCTGCCTCTCATCCTCCAGTTTCCCAGTTGGAGGGAAGAGACCCATTCCCACATTCCACTCTACTCTCAAGGAGGCTGAGAGTCAAAGTGTCACCCAGTGTGACAAAGTGCCACCAGCTACTCTGAATGCGAGCAAAGATGGGGCCCCTCACCCCGCAGACCAAGGGGAACATGACCACCAGAAATGTGGGGTCCGCTTGGGACCCGAGGGGTGCTGCCAGAAGCAGGGATGCCCAGAGCCACCAACCACCCCCAGCTCAGGCTCAGCAGCCTGATGTGCCTTTGGCTCTGTCCTGTGTGACTCCAGAGACCCCTGCTCCAGGTTCTCTCTGGAGACTCCCTGCTCCCTCTCATGAGACCTTCTCCCTCCCACCCAACTTTTCCAAAGGAGTCCATTGCTCCACAGCCTGAGCTCAAGGGAGCTCTCCATCTTCCCCCACCACCGAAGAGACAGTCCTGGAGAAGGGGGTACCCAGCACAGCTCCCTCAACCCTAGCTACAGCCACAGGCATCAACGATCATGTCAGGGATGTCAGTCTTGACGATGTTGCTATTGCGATCGAAGTAGAGGACAGAGAGCGGCCGGCGTCGTGTGGGCACGCAGCAGGAGTGCCCCGATGCCTGCACATTGTTGGCTTTGACGAGGTTGAAGACAGCTGTGTGGAAAGAAGAGGCCATCCCAGGGCTGCCAGCCACGTGTAGAGGGCACTGGCCCACGCAGTAGTTTATCTGGTAGCCCTCAGGCTTAATGATCCAGTCATTCCAACCAATGTCTCGGAAATCCACGTAGTAGTCCTTGCGGCAGCAAAGGTTGGAGTTTTGGCTGCAGCGGAGGCTGCGCTTGGCCACATGGTGACCTGGTTCTCTCACCTTTGCCTTGGCCACCAAGAAGGGCTGGTGGGACCAGCTGGCATTGACTATTGCCATATCACCCCCATCCCCGTGGCTTTCCAGTTCTAGCCGCAGGGTCCTCTGCTCTCCCCCAAAGAAACTCTGCAGGGCAGGCATGAGGGTGAAGGCGTGCCAGCCGCTGCCCCGCGCACTCAGTTGCTTCTCACTCAGCAGCGTGCGATTGCCCCCCCCCAAACCACCTTCCCCACCAGCCAGGAAGATTTGCAGGGTGAGGCTGGCTACCGGGTCTCGTGGGACTCGAAGGTAGAGCCAGAGCTGAGCTTGCAGGATGTGAACGTCCTGGTCTTGTGTGCGGCTGAAGTGGAACTGCAGCCCCAAGCGAGAGGGAGATGTGGGCTCTGAGGGCAGAAAGGAAGAAGGAGGTGAATGCTGCGGGATGCAGGGAAGGTGAGGCTGCACCATCACCCTGCACATTAAGGCAAATTTCTGTCAGGTTTTTTAGAGGAAAGACCTACAAACTTCCCTCCCTCCATGGGGTCCGCAGTCTTTCCCCCTCCTTTCCTTGGGGATGCTAACCAGAGGAGGGGACTGTCCCACCCTGCCTGGCAGAATGGGCACAGAGGGGGCACCCAGCCCTTCCCCAGAATCACAGAATGGGCAAGGCTGGAAGGGTCCACAGTGGTCACCTTGCCCAGACACCCCACTCAAACAGGGTCACCCACAGCGCTGCTGCACAAAAGCTGAAGAGCGTTTCTAGCCTACCCACGCCCGAGCTGGTCCTTGCAGCTCTCAAGTCCATCTTTGGAGGGTCTCAGACACCTCGGGTTGTGCCTGTCCCTCAAGGGAGGGGATCGGCATCGCAGCACGTCTGGTGCGTGGTCCCACCTGGCTAAGGCAGGACCAGGAGGAGCCGTTCGCGGCTGAGCCTCCCTGTGCATCCGCAGCGCGGGGAGGTCGCCACGCACACCAGGCGCATTCATTAAGGACTTAATCACGGCCCGCGGGGCCCCCCCACGCGGTTTGGCACCGGGCACAGCCCAGCTCACCCCAGCCCCGTCGGGGGCCGCGGGGATGG